CAAGTCTTGTTCTGTGTGGTGGGCCCCTGCATAGCTGAGGTAGTCAGAGGTCAGTGCTCAATGGGCATAGCCAGTCCTCGCAGCTGATCAGCCTGAGTAAATCACCCCCATTGACATGCCAACAGCAATCAAGACTCAATTACAATATAAGGGTGGACAGTCCACACTAGGAGTGCACCTTGAGGACCCAACTGGGGTGATCAGGGAGGTTGTGCTACTGGACCCTATAGGACACCTACTACAGTAGGCCACCCTACCAAGCCTAGGAGACATAGCAGCTCTACCTAATACATAGAAACAATCACAGGGAGGCAGCCAAAATGAGGATACAAAGAAACATGTCCCAAATGAAAGGACAGAACAAAACTCCAGGAAAAGAACTAAATGAAATGGACATAAGCAATCTAACAGATGCAGAGTTCAAAACACTGGTTATAAGGATGCTTAAGGAACTTAGTGAAGGCCTCAAGAGCATAAAAAAGGGTTAGTCAGAAATGAAAGATGCACTAACTGAAATAAAGAATAATTTACAGGGCCCAGCCATTGTGGCTCAGGGGATTGAGCATTGTTCCATGGACTGAGAGTCCTGGTTTGATTCCTGGTCAGGGCACATGCCCAGGTTTCAGGCTTGATACCCAGTGTGAGGTGTGCAGGAGCCAGCCAATCAATGTTTCTCTCTCACATAGATGTTTCTATCTCTCTCTCCCTTCCTCTCTCTAAAGGTTCAATAAAACATATATATATAATATATATATATATAATTTTTTATTCAGTGAATTAAAAAATAAAGAAATTAGCTACAAAGTCATGAAAAGACATGGAGGAGCCTTAAATGCATATTTCTAAGTGAAAGAAACATACTGCATGAATCCAGTGATAAAACATTCTGAAAAAGGTAAAACTAGAGAGACAGTAAAAAGATCAGTGGTGCTCTGGCCAGTTTGGCTCAGCGGTTAAAACATCAGCCCTCAGACAAAAGCGTTTCGGGTTCCATTCCGGTCAAGGGCATGTACCTCGGTTGCAGTTTGATCCCCAGCCCTGGTTGGGGTCATGCAGGAGACAGCCAATCGATATTCCTCTCTCTGTCTCAAACATATTTTTTATTATTAAAACAAAATTTTTTTTTTCTTTATTGATTTTAGAGAGAGAGGAAGGGAGAGGAAGAGAGAGATAGAAACATCAATGAGAGAGAACATCGACTGGCCACCTCTTGCATGCCCCCCACTGGGGATTGGGTCCACAACCTGGGAATTGAACCAGTGACCTCTTGGTGCATAGGTCAATGCTCAACCACTGAGCCACACCAGCTGGACAAAACATATTTTTTTAAAAAGAATAATTTATAGGAAATCAATAGTAGAGTAGGTAAAGCCAAGAAGCAAACCATCAATTTGGAATATAAGGAAGCAAAAAACACCCAATCAGAATAGCAAAAAGAAAAAAGAATACAAAAAATGAGGACAGTGTAAGGAGCCTCTGGAACAACTTCAAGCGTGCCAATTTTCGCATCATAGGGGTGCCAGAAGGAGAAGAGAGAGAGCAAGAAATTGAAAACCTATTTGAAAAAATAATGACAGAAAAGTTCCCTAAACTGATGAAGAAAACAGACATACAAGTCCAGGAAGCACAGAGAGTCCCAAACAAGATGAACCCACACCAAGGTGTGGTTTACACCAAGAGGCCCACACCAAGACACATCGTAATCAAAATGCAAAAGGTTAAGGACAAAGAGAGAATCTTAAAAGCAGCAAGAAAAAAGCAATTATTCATAGGTCCCTTATAGAAGGGAACCTCCCATAAGACTGTCAGCTGATTTCTCAAATGAAATTTTGCAAGCCGGAAGGGAGTGGCAAGAAATAGTCAAAGTGATGAAAAGCAAGGACCTACAACCAAGATTATTCTACCCTGCAAAGCTGTCATTTAGAATCAATGGACATATAAAGAGTGTCCCAGACAAGAAAAAGCTAAAGGAGTTCATCACCACCAAACCAATATTATATGAAATGTTGAAGGATCTTCTTGGAGAAGATAAAATATATAAACAATAAAATGGCAATAAATACATATTTACCAACTATTGAATCCAGAAATAAAATGAACAAGCAGAACAGAAACAGACTCTTAGATACAGAGAACTTTTTGTTGGTTGCCAGATGGGAGGGGAGTTGGGGGGATGGGTAAAAGGCGAAAGGATTAAGAAGTACAAATTGGTTATTAGACTGATGAACCTCAAAGGGAAGGGGGGAGAAGGGGCAGGAAGAGATAAACCAAAGAACGTATATGCATATATGCATAACCAATAGACACAGACAATAGTGTAGTGAAGGCAGGGATGGTAGGCTGGAGCGGGGGAGGGGGTCAATGAAGGGAAAAGGGGGGACATCTGTAATACTTTCAACAATAAAGGTAAGTTAAAAAAAAAAAAAAGAATTGTTCTCTAGCTGGAAGTCATCACTTCTTGGTACTGGCCCTGAAGTAGAGAAATCTTTGGTTTCTATCATCTCAGCTAGTCTGACTTAGCTTTACTATTACCAAAAAGGGGCCCTGGCCCTTAGCAGGTCTGCCTAGAGCTGACCAGTAGTGTGTGGGTTCTTGACTTCATGCAGGAAGAGTTTCACAACATGAGTCCAGGTAAATTTTAGAGGGTGTTTATTAAAGTTGGGGACAGTGAAACAAGAAAGGGCTGGGAAAAGAGCCTGGGCTGGGCTGCTCTGGCTCACTAGGAAGTCAGAGAAAAGGGGCCTTGGGGACAGGCTCACAGGGTTGGTCTGGAACGAACTGCTGCTGCCATTGCTGCCCCGGTTGCAAGCCTCATGGGGTCCCATAGAGTTTAGGAGACGCGTGCCTGTGGGGGAACAGCTCCTGGGAAGGAGAGTATGTGCTGGGATCTTCATTTTGAGGGGTATTACAGGCTGGGCAGTTAAGGGAAGTCTTAGGGGAGGATCGCAATAGAATATTCATCAGCTTTATGCTGATGTACCAAAATGAGGTTTATTCTCTTAACTTCATTTATCCTTGGGTGTGGTTGGTAAATGGCCCTAATTGGATTTATGCTATCTGTCTCCCTGAGTAGGGTGATTTAAGCTATTAGCCGCCTGGTTGGGGAGAAGTACAAGCCATTTACTCTCAAGTGTCCCTGGTTTAGGGAAGATAGGATTTACTAGGTGGCTGCAAACTGCTGTCTCAGTTTCCCCATTCCGCTTGTCCCGAGTACGAGCCTGTCTCATTACCATGTGGCAGCATGCGGAGGTAGCATTTCAGAAACAACATGGCACACTGCCCTGTGACGAATGGGTAGGAATTAGCCAGGAAGAAAAAAATGGGCGGAAGGGTACTCCAAGCAGGGGAATAGCACTGGCGTGTGTTCTGGGAACTATAAATTCTGGTAGCAGGAACAGAGGCTCAAGGAAGGGAATGCGAGAGATGTCAGCTTAAGAAATATCCAAGAGTAGCCCTGGCCGGCTTGGCTCAGCGGTTAGAGCATCGGCCTGTGGACCAGGGAGACCCAGGTTTGGTTCCCGCTTAAGGGCATGCACCTCGGTCGCAGTTTGTCCCTGGCCCCAGTTGGGGTCATGTGGGTGGCAACTGGTCAATGTGTCAATGTTTCTCCCTCCCACTCTAACTGAGGATAAATGCAAAAATGTCCTTGGGTGAGGATAAAAGAAAAAAAAAAAGAAATGTCCAGGAGCATTTGAGATCTTGTTCCCCATCAGTTTGTAAGAAAAAAAAAGAAGTAATGTCCAAATCTGTGGAGAATTTTTATAGGTATTTATTTGAGCCAAAACTGAGGATAATTGCTAGAAAGCAAGACCTCGAATGCTCTGGAGAAGGACAGTTCTGCAGTTTCTGTTACGCATTAGAAATTAAGAGGATGTCAGGAGGATTCCATGAAGGGGGCGAAAGCAAGGTGGTGTTGGATCACGGGGTAGTTAACAAGATCACGTGCTCTCTGGAGGGTGGTGACCTCAAGTTCGGGTATGTTCACCTAGATGCACAAAAACAATGGAGAGGGTCTGCTTAAGGCAAAGATGGACCTTTTCCTTAAGTTATAGGCCCTGGCCGGGTAGCTCAGTTGCTTAGAGTGTCATCCCGATACGCCAAGGTTGGGGACTTCATCCCCAGTCAGGGAACAGACTAGAAGCAGCCAATGACTACATGAGTAAGTGGAACAACAAATCAGTCTTTCTCTCTCTCTCCCCCCACCCTTCCACTCTATAAAATTAATTAAAAACAAGTTACGTGCCTGAGCATAACAACGCATCATGACCTGTCCAACTCAAACAGGAATTTATGATTAGGTCACCCTGTGAGGTTACTTTCTGTTGGACTCCTTTTTGTCCATGGAGACCAGGCTAGAGAGGTTAGCAAGGGCTGGATGGTGGAGGAGTGTAAACTGACTTTCTCTGGAGGGCAATAGGGAGCCAAGATGGGGTTTCCCTGGTGAACCCACAATTTTCTGGAAAAGTCAGCCCTGTCCCATGGCCCTGCCAGGAAAGGCAGGAGGTCCACACTTATGCTATGTGGAAAGAGTCCCTTTGGGGGTCAAAGGGAGGCAGAGGGGTCTTGCTGAGTGTCCAAGGAGAGAGGCCATTTGGCTGGAAGTCGGAGAAAGGGAGGAACCCTCTTACTCTTCCATGAGAAGGGGCCCCAAACCCAGGCAAGAGAGGAGCGTCAGGAAAGCTGAGGTGAAATACCACTTGTGCCTTTTTTCCCTCTTAAAAACTAAACAAAGCAGCTATGTTCCGTGGCCCCTCAGGAAGACCAGTCATTTCCTGAGGAGATATCAGGCCAGCCCCAGGCATTGTTCCCGGTTTCCAGCAATGGCCTCCATTACCTGACCAGCCTCGCAGCCGGTCCTTCTGCGGCGCTGGCAGAAGTCACCAGAGTGGTCTCCGTGCTTTGCGCAGAGCAGTTCCTCATCTGCAGTGTCTGAGAAGCATCTTCTGCTGTAGGAGCATGGCCCCAAAGCAGAACTAACTACTCGAAGTCTGGCTTTTCAGATTCAGCTGGGGTTGACTGCAGGCAAGATGTGGCCGGGAGCCCTGCTGACACTTCTGCTCTGTGAGTTTCACTCTCTTCCTACATCACTTGCACTGCAAGAGACTCGGAGCAGGTGAAGTCAACATCTTTTTCTGTCTTTTCCAGGTTCAAGCCTTGAGGCTCAAGAAAACTGTAAGTTGTAAACTTTCCACCTAGATGCATTCCATCTTTCTGTGACTCTTCACATTCATGTCAAACTGCTTGGGTTGATGTTTCTAACAATGGGGAAAACGTATTCCAGTTGAAAGCTAATGTTTATTGCTTTCTGGCATTTTTTAAAGGTTTTAGAAAAAAACAAAACAAAACACTTGTTCAAAGCCAAGTTCTAATCAGCATGTTTTCTAGATCCTAATGAACTGCTGTATGTTAGGATTGGGCGGGGTGATTAAAAAAAAGTGAGTGAGCCGCCTTGGTTGGTTTGGCTCAGCAGTTAGAGCGTCGGGCTGCGGTCCAGAGAGACCCGGGTTCGGTTCCCTCTAAGGGCACATAGCTCGGTTGCAGTTTGTCCCCAGCCCTGGTTGGGTTGTGTGGGTGGCAGCCACTCGATGTGTCCCTTTCACGTCACTGTTTCTCTCTCTCTCTCTCTCTCTCCCTCCCACTCTATCTGAACAAAAAATGGAAAAATGTGAGGATAAAAAAAAAAAGTGAGTGATTGAATAATTTGTTTTTTGTTGTCCTACTGTAAAATTCTCATTTTCATATTCTACTCCTCCCCAATTTTTTTATTCACAAATGAAATGTAATCAATTTGTTAGATTCATGAAGACAGAACATAGTTTATATTGTTGTTACAGCTCTTTTCCTCCTAAATGATCTAAAACATATTGGATTTCATTTCCCAGCCACCCACGAGGCAGCAGTTCTACCTACAATAGGGTGTGCTTGTGCACAGGGAGGTGGGCTCATCCTTGAATTCTGGTTTATCATTCACTTTGGAGTTCATTTTGAATCTTTAAGATAAGCGGGTGTGGTTCTGCTTCAATGGGGACCATGTGAAGGAGGGAGCTTGGCTGGATCTGGGGGCTTCGTGGAGGGAGAGCCCACAGGGCAGGGTCCCTTGTCAGTGATCACTTCAGTCGGCAAAGAATGGCGGTGACTGGGTTGTGAACAGTTGTACAGCTCTCTGGAGGCGGTGTACTTGGGTGATGCCAGTTTGTTGAGCCAGGGCTCAGAGCAGGGGCTCCAGGGCATGGAGGCCTGGTGTGGCTGCTAGCAAAGCCGGTCTGCTGGTCTCCCGCTCAGCTGCCCATGTGCTCTGGCAGGCATTTGATCCCTATGGCAACCCATGGAGGCAGGATATCCATTATCATCCCAATCAACTGATAATGTCTCTGCATCTCAGAGAAATAACTGACTTGCCTGATGAGGGCCAGGACATCAGCACTAGAACCTCTGCTATCCAAAACCCACCTAGTCTGTCTGGACCATAGGCCTGACTCAACTCTTTTTTAAAAATATTTTTTCTTTATTGATTTCTAGAGAGAGAGGGATGGAGGGAGAGAGAGATAAAAATATCGACGAGAGAGAACATCAATTGGCTGCCTCTTGCATGCCCCCCACTGGGGACTGGGCCTACAACCTGAGCATGTGCCCTGATCAGGAATTGAACCGGCAACCTCCTGGTGATGGCTCGATGCTCAACCACTGAACCACACTGGCTGGGCCTGACTAAACTCTTTAAAGCCACTTTTACTTTGCCTCTTTGAGCCTTTTTTTCACCTTGTAAAGTGGGGGTGATAATAGGATTAATCGCAGAGTCATGTAAGGATAAGAATCACAGAGTCATGTGCCTGCCCAGCATGTGGGCTAAGTGTGGTTTGCCATCTGCAGTCCTGGTTCTCCCCAACTGTACGTGCACAGCTCCTGCGCCACCCTCTCTGTCCATGCCAGCCCACTCCTCCCAGCTTTTGTCCAACCACACCCTGCCAACACTACTGCTTCTGGGCTTCTGTGTCCTTTGCTGTGGACATCCTGTTTCCCAGACCTCCGGGTTCTCCCACCTCCTTCTCCATCTCAGATGGACGTAAATCACCCGCTTCTCATGGTTCGTAGAGAAAGGTCTTTGTACTTTCAGGGAAGACCTCAGAACTGCAGATTTAGGGCAGGCGGCTCTCCCTCTGCTTCCTCAGGCCTCCACCTTGTTTTATACTTGAGCAAACTAAGGCCCGGAGGCCAGAAGGCACTTGTGCATGGTCACAGTCCTGGGTGTTAACAGAGTGGGGCCTAGGATGCAGGCTCCCACTCCTCGGGCCATCCCAGACCATGCTGAGAACTCCTTTGCCATGCATGGCCTCCGAACCTGCCCCACATCGCCTGCTCTCTGTGGTTGAGGTCCTGGCTAGCTTGGCCCTTCCACTCCTTAATCTCAGGCCCTCGCCCTCCCCGGGCCCTCCTGCCTCAGGAGATGACCTCAGCCTCATCTTCACCTTGAAAACAGTGCTGTCTGGAGGGAACTCCCTCAACTTCCCGCCCTGCCCTGGCTACAGCTTATCTGCCTCCCCACCCATCCTCCTGGCTTCCATCCCAACTCAGACAAGACTCAGACTGCCCCTCCCCCTGTGCTGACCAGGCCAGCCTGGCCCCCTGGGCTCTGAGCCCAGCCCTCGCCTGCCCCCAGGATCACTTTTTATCATTGATTCAGTTGCCATCCCACATTTAGTGTCTTACCCCCTCCTCTAGGTTCCCCCAAACATGATTGGTAGCTCTTATTTTTTTTGGAAAAAGGAAAATCACACACACCCCCTCCATTTATCTTGTGTCCCCCATCTGTCCACTCCCCTCCTCAATCAAATGTCTCTGAAGGCTGGGTTATCGGCACTGTCTGCTCCCTCCCCTCTTAGGCAGCCCTCACTCAGCAGTCTGGCCCAGGCCCCTCCTCCCTGCAAGGAAGCCTCTACCGACCCCCTGAGGCCAAATGCTATGCACACTCCAGCCCTTAGCACTGGGGCCCTTTGCACACGCCTCCTTCCCGGGCCTCCTGGCCCTCCTGCCTGGTGTTCTCTTACATCTCCGACAGACCTCTCCTTTCCCCAGGGTATCTGTGGACTTTCCCAGGGTCTGGACTCCCTCCATCCCCTTGTCTCTGCAGGCTCCCTGGTCTTATCCTCTCTGGAGCTCAACACCTCTCTACACTCCATATACCCGCAGGCCCCGTCCAGCCCTGGCCTCTCCCCTGAGCATCAGGTGGAGCCAGTGGGTGGCATCTCCTCCTAAATGTCTCCCAGGTCCCCCCAAACCAGTGTCATCACAGGACTTTTTTCTTCACCCTTATCTTTTTCTGCCATTCTCTACTTTAGTCAGTGACACCTATATCCTCCTGGGTACCTAATCTAGGAATCTTATCTTCCATTCTTTGCTTCAACCCCCGTATTTAATTAAACGAGTCATTTTTTTTTAAAAGATTCTCATCCGAAGATACTTTTTTCCATTTTTTATTTTCAGATAGAATGGGGGGGGGGGAGGTGTGTGGCGAGGAGAAATATCCATGAGAGAGGGACACATTGATTGGTTGTCTCCCACACAACCCCGACTGGGGCCGGGAACTGAACTGAAACCGAGGCACATGCCCTTGACCATAATCAAACCCACGACTCATTGGTCTGCAAATCAACACTCCACCGCTGAGCCAAACCAGCCAGGGCTTAAACAAGTCTTTAAAAATTTTTCTAAATAAAATTTATTTATTATTATTGATATTTAGTATATTCATAATGTTATGCAAACATCACCACTGTCTAGTTCCAGAAACTTTTCAACCCCCCCCCCCCACCACCACCAAATAAGTCCTTTTGTGTCCACTAAATAGTTCTCAGGTCCATCCCTTCCGTCATTCCCGCTGCACCTGGCCTCGCTCAGACCTCATCAGCTTTCGTCTGAACCCCTGTCCAAGGTGGTCTCCCTCTAGCCCACATTGATCTTTCTAAAGCTCCGGGGTCATCCTGTTACCCTTCTCCTAAACACCCAGGACAGGGCCCAGCTTGTCAGCACAGTGGGCCAGGCCCTCTGTTCTGGAACCTCTACCTGGCTCACTTGGCCCCTCTGGCCCCATTCTCTGGTTCCTGTAACTGTTTGTGCCCGTGCACTGATTTGTCATGCCCCTGTGCCCTGGTACATGCTGTTCCCCTGCCCAGAGCACCCCTGTTCTTGGCCTGGTTCAAGGCTTGGTTCAGAGATCACTTCCTTCAGACTTTCCTTGGCCTCTCCTGGGCAGCCTTTCCTCTTGGTGTTTGTATCACTGGACTCGAGCTATCTGCGTGGCCTGTGACAGGGGTGATTTAGTATTCACCTTGTAAGCCTACTACCTAGCACAGGGGCTCGGTAAATGTCTCATTGAAGGAGACACCAACTGAACTTGGAGATATTTGAGATTAAATGAGAAGATGGGCCAGCATGCTCTGTGCTGAGCGCTGAAGTTCCGCAGGGACTTTTGTGATTTTCCTGACAATAGCGGAGGCTTCTCCTTCTCTACCCCCCCTTTCTGTCTGCGTCATTTCCAGGTTGAGGGCCAAGTGGCTGGCTGAGTCATAATACCTCATCTTCCCAGGGAGCATCAGCATCCGCTGACTGGCAGCTGGAGGTAGAGGAAAGCAGGCCCCTTGGTTTGAGTGTTCGAGGACTTGCCACTGTGGTCCCTGGGTGCCTCATCTGTGCTGTGGTGACTTTGTTACTTTGGATTCTTCTCCATCAACCTTCATCTCCCCTGGTTGAAAAGAGCTGACCTCTTTAGGCTCTTTTACAACCCTGTCCTTCTATCACGACAAAACCTTTTGTATTTTATAAGAGAGCTGTGGATCCTCTCTCCAGAAAAATGCACACTTGCCCTGGCCAGTGTGGCTCAGTTGGTTGGGTGTTGTCTCATGCACCGAAATGTTGCTGGTTTGATTCCCAGTTAGGGCACATGCCCGGGTTGCAGGCTTGATCCCAGTGGGGGGGGTGTAGGAGGCAACTAACTGATTGATGCATCACTCTCACATTGATGTTTCTCTCTCCCTCTCCCTTTCTATCTCTCTCAAAATCAATGAAAAACCTTTGAAAAAAAATGTTCCAAGGGTCAGGAATCCAGGAGTGGCTTAGTTGAGTGGTTCTGAATCAGGGTCTGTCAGGAAATTGCAGATAAAATGTTGGTCAGGGTT